CACTTTTCCTCGTGACAATGTCATTTATACGTCTAGCAATGGTGTCATTTGACAGAGGGATAGTTTTTATTTTTGCAGCACTTGCATCATCCAGCATGACAGAGACCATGTCTAATGCTGCAGGCAGTATCAGCTCTTCTGCTATGGTGTGCGGTTTTTTGCACTGAGCAATTTGGTACGCCACCTTATATGATGCCAACAATGCTCGCTTGTTTACTGAAATAGCAGTCAGAAAGTGGGATGATTGTTTGCAATATTCGACAATACTCAAGCAGCTTATTAGCGTGATTGGGGTGTAATGTCTTTAAGTGACGACTTAATTTATTTGGCTTCATGCTGTCCGCTGCCAACATTTTTAGACATAGTAAGCACACCGGTCTTTCCTCGTCTCCCACCGTAGTCACAGTGAAGCCAAGCGCTACATACGCCTCGTCATATTTCCTCGTCTTAGCCTTCGGAAGACTTTCTTTTATCTCCTTCTCTCCTTCTCTCTCCGCCTGTCTTCTCATCCCTGTTAAAAAATTTTTTTCTGTACAGAGGACTGATTTCCGGGTCTAAAAGTCACACGGGCGGGTTTGGCCAATAAGGATAGAGCATCATGTCTATCCAATTGGGTCCTTTGCATGTGTCACGTGCATTGGCGGTCATGTTGTCCTCCGCGTCGGGCTGCTACTGGGGCTGCGCTGGGACAATCTTCAGTGTTCGCGCCGCGCTGCTCCCTCTCTTCAGCTCTAGAGTTGCTAGGCAACCAATGCCGTGTGGGACGCCGCTTGCGAGTGAGTCGGATGATCCGATCTAGAAATCCAATATGACAGTATTTGCCGAGGTCAAACGAGCCCCCCTTTACGGAGCCTCGCGCCCCCCCTGGGGGGCGCGCCCCACTATTTGGGAAGCACCGCCCTAAAGATAATGAGACTTACAAGCCTGACTTTTGGTGATTGCACCCATGCTGTTTTTCAAGCAGCATTACAAAAGTGGTTTGCTATAGCCTTCTTCCAGGATATTCAATCTCTCAGTCTAGCCAACATCCCTGAAATCCCTACCTGATAAGGGACCATTCCTGGATGTGGAAAAGATTGAAAGTGCATTTATCTGAATCTCTGTTAAGGTATTTGCAAAAGTAAGGTTGAGATGTAGGCATGTTCCCCAATTCCACTAGTTTTAAAATGAGCATCTACATAGGTCTTAAATACAAAGTTTTCACTAAGAAATCTAACTACACACTCTACATTATATATCCATTAAACAATAACAATGCTATGATGAGTTACTCATGTGATATGTGATTAGGTTAGGCTGAATGATGGAATCAGAATACCTGCCCGAAGAGAATCAACAGATCAACAAATAAATATGTTCCACAATCTCCAACACAACATGATTACATATCATAGTACTGTATATCTACATATCATCTTTATTATCTACCTTTTTGGCTTTTCAGACCTCAGCCTTAAATCAGCAGGTTTTTTTAAAGTAACTTAATGCAGTAGCTTCTGGTTATTTTTAGTATTTTAAAGGTTTATTTTTTCAGTTCACTCACTGCAGCCATATTTTATAAAGTAAAAATGCACATGAGTAATCCATCATAGCTAGAACTTGCTGGTCACCATTAGGTATCTTTTGCTTTATGCTTTTTCTCTCCTGAACAGCATTTCTCTCAGAGAAGTGAAGGACTATATGAGCTAAATAAACAGAAAGTTAGATTTCCTACTATACATGTACCTATGGTATCAAATTATTCTACTTTAAAATCCAAAGCCTATGCATTAAGCTTATTTTAGGCAGTGGAGATAGATGATAGCTAGCTAGCTAGCTAGCTAGCTAGAAATATGCCTATCTATCTGTTTCTAACTCTTGTATGTCCTAATACCTGACAGACATTTATGGTGAGAACTCATATAACAAAAGTACGCAAATGATAGTTCTCCATATGTTACTAAACTGAAGTTTCCTATAAACATGACCTACAGCAGTTTTTCTCAACCTTGGTGGCTTGAAGATGTATGGACTTCAACTCCCAGAATTCCCCAGCCAGCTTAGCATAGCTGGCTGGGGAATTCTGGGAGATAAAGTCCACACATCTTCAAGCCACCAAGTTTAAAACAGGGGTCTTCAGACTTGGCCTGGCTGAGGAATTCTGGGAGTTGAAGTCCACAAGTCATAAAAGGGCCAAGTTTGAAGACCCCTGATTTAGAAACATTGTGATCCAAGAAGCTGTACTTCAGCAACATCTAGCACATAGGCACCCAGCTACAAGCCAAGCTACCCAAAAATGATGAAATGAAAAGTGTGATGGCACAGTGCAACTCATTTTATATACTTATGTCTTAACTCTGATAAGTTGGTAACTCCTGCCGAGTTTCCACTGCAAAGTTATGACACGTGTTTCAATGGTCCCCAGCCTCCATTGGTTCTTTATTTTTGTGACATAATGTAGCTTTAATGAGCTGGGTGCCTCTAGCTCAAATACTATATCAGCAATGTATGTACTCGGTGCCTCATTCAATCTCTTTCTTTCACACATAGTACATCTGATATGTGGGTCATAACATAATTGCTGCTGGTAGAGATGTCAACAATTATTCAGATTCACTCAAAGCTTTGCAATTAGACAATTATCTAGTTATTGGCCAAGTTCACCCAGCATGTTCTTGTAAGCTAAAATGGGACTCGGAGCTTTGTGGGAACCAAAGTCAATATTTTAACATGGTATGCCAATCAGGCTATCAGATTAAATTGTAATAAAGCAGCTCATTTCCCTGGAAATAGCATGAGATATGAGGGCGGCCATTCTCTTTTATCAAGTTTGATTTAGTGTTAACTTGTATGAACTTGGCCATTAAATATCAATGACAACAATAATTTATCTGGAAGAGAAAATGTAAGCCTTTTGGGAAACATGTCACAACAGGACAATTCTGCTAATGTTAAGCATTTTCAAACAGCATGTCACCAATTGGAAGAACCAATCGGTAGGTTTTCTATATTACTTAATAATTGACTGATTTATCTGAATCCTTTACAGCCATGCTAAAGAAACAACCTGTTGTATTTTAAGGTAATGTAGATCCTTGTTGTCCAGACATAACCTCACAAGAGTGATCCACATTCCTTTCCTTCACATACTGATGGGGATGCATTTTCCAAAACTGGCATTAGTGTTTGTTGTACTAATCTAATGGATTAGATATATCAAGGGCAGAGACAGAGGCCAGCAGATAGTAAACAACGAAGTGGAATCAGTGGGTCCTGCTTAACTAGGTCACACAAACATGGTAAATATATTATTTATATCTGCAGGATGCATGGAAAATAGGGTTAATAGCAATGAATTATTAACCCTCGCTGTTTCAGTAACTTCTATCTGCCTTTTGATTTCCTTGACAATATTTAACTGAGCTAAAGCATTAAAAAAGAGAATTCTATAGTTCCTAAAGCTGATTATGAACTTCCCTGGGTTTCTAACAGAACTCCAGAAGGAAATGTTCTCTAGGAGGTTTATAATAATTTCACAGGAGTACCCCCACACGAGTCTCTCTCTCCCTGTTTCCCGAAAAGGATACTGTATAGTGGAAAGCTTTAAGAAACTTCCTGACGATCACTCGCTTTTAGCCAGAAAAGTTACTTTCCTTCTCTCAAGCCGCGCAACAGTTTTCCAGCAACGCGCCTCAAAGTCTCAGGTTGCTTTAAATCGCCTTGCAGTCGCGCATCCGAGGACAATACCTGCAGCCTATTTCTGCGCAGCCTCAATCTCGCTCTTACATCCCGCGCTTACAAGATTCTCTCCAGAGCTGGTCACGCTGATACAACCTAACAGCAAAGCTCCGCGGCTCAAGGAGGGCTAGCCCGGCGCCTAATAATGCAGGACGAACCGACGGGAACCTCAGACACAACTTTTCACTGCAAACACGTCAACCATTCCCCAAATCCAGAGCACCGACGCCGACTTGGGCCTCGGGAAACCTTTCGCAACAGGCAGCAAACAGCTCAGTACTTTTAAAAGTGTTTCATGCATAGCAGAGGTCGCGCCAAAAACGTGTGTTTGCTTGCTCCGAAATAGGGTAACTGTTGGGTAACTCGCACGACTCCAGCATGGTGACGTCCCGTTTGCCTTGGCTTGCGGGCATGTTTAAATTGCATCTGCAACTGCCGATCCCGTTGGAAAACTCCGTTAAATCGCCTCTTTTCGGCTTCCTATTCTGAGCTTGTTTCGATTCCTCTTTTAGAGCGCTCGCTCTTAAGCTAAAAATTAAATCCCATCTTCTTCAATGCAACTTACTCTATAAAACAAGGGTTCTCAACCTTGGCAACTTTAAGACTTGTGGACTTCAACTCCCAGAATTCCTCAACCAGCTTTGAGAACCCCTGCTATAAAAGGTTTAAGATTAATATCCTGGCAGGCCACCTCTGCAGGTCAGGCTTAAAATAGCTCCAACGAGTCCAAAATGAGATTCCCAGCTAAGAGGGAATTTCCAGGTTTTCCAGCGCTATTTTATACAGATCTGGCTTGAATTTAAGGAGGGTACTCTGGGATAAGTGGTTGAATGGCCACTCCAGGTTCTACCTGCCTTACTTTGAAGAAAGTCCCACTGATCTCACTAGGGAAATCTGCAAAGAATCTCGGTCGCGATAATCTCCTTGATCCTTGGAGGTGTGTGGGGGGGGGGAGCGGGGAAGGAGGTTTGCTAACGTTTAGCCTTGCAAGGATTACAGAAGTCAAGGCTGATAGGAACTGGGTAGCCTTTCTTCCCGAAGGGAGTTCATATTTGAAAGACCGGTCTACCAGCGCTAGGCTGCCATAGCACGCCTCTCCCTCCCTCTTCCCCTCCCCCCGGGGCTACCCTCAGCCGCCGGGGAAAAGGACGAGGAGACACCGTTCTCCGTTACAAGCATATAAAATAAAGCTCTTTTAAGGCGTCGCACGCTCTGGCGGCAGACCGCGATCTTCCCGTCCCGTCCCACCCCTACCCGCCAATGCAACCCCAGTCCCGCCTCACCCTTCCGTCGATGCCATCGTGCTGTGCGAGCCCCCCTCGCTTATCTTCTCCAGAAATCTGGGGGCTTCAACAAAGCGCGGCCGCTTTCAGCGGGGAAGAGCCAAGGCGCTCCCTTCTGTCTTATCGTTGGGTGTCGGGGACTCCAGGCGATTCCTGCCTTGTATAATCCTCCCGGCTCTGAAAGGCCAGCATCCAAGAAGCTGCGCTCTGAAGAGCAAAGCCGCCGCCGCCGCCACTTCTTCCTCCTCCTCCTCCTTCTGGCTTGGAGAGAAATTTCTCAACGTCTTCTGGAAGCTTGAATGTCTTGATGGAGAAGGGGAGTGCGAACGAGAGGGGAGGGGGAGTGAGGAAGGGGGAAATCCAAAAGCCCACCACCCCCCGTGGGGGAAGACTACGGTCAATGGGGAAACGGCAAGGCTGAAGCAATGGAAATGCCAGGGCTTTGATTCTTCGCTTTCTACTCTCACCCGGAGAGCTACTGGAGTGTGTGTGTGTCTGCGAGAGAGAGAGAGAGAGAGAGAGCGATTGGAGGAAGGGGGGGGGTTGTGTTGTGTATAAACGCGTTGTGGAGCGGTGGGTGATTTCACATTGCCATGGTGTCGGCTGAGGCTGGATTGGAAGGTTTAACTGTGGATTTGCAGACTCTCTCTATTTTAGGCGAGGGCTGACATCACTAGCGGTTGCCTCGCCGGCAAATTCCCCCCAGCCTCTTATTTGTAAAGGAAAAGCCCTCCCAGACGAACGCAGGGATGTATAGGAATGAAGGCAAGAGAAAGCGGCGCCTGGAGCACCTCGGCGGTCTAACTTCCAGACCCTGAAGAAACGGGTTGATTCTCGTTAATTTGATATTACTACCACTATCACCCTCCCTCCCTCCCTCCTGGGCTGGCTTGGAAACTGGAGCGAAAGCGATTAAATGCCACCGCGTGAAAAAAAAAAGAAGCGCTTCAAATCTCAGTCTCCCGCGGAGGTCGATTCCCTTTGTGCTGGCTCGGTTCCGGTCCACTCAGCGGTGGGGGCTGCAAAAACACGCGCCTGCCCCTTTCATGAAGGAATATTTACATACAACACCGCGCCTCCTTTGTAACTGTCTGCGCCGATTCCCCCCACCCACCCACCACTTCCAGTGTGTTTTATTCAGATGTATAACCTCTTTCCCCCCCCCTCCCCGTCCTTCGCTATATGGGCAGGAATCTGGGCAACATTCAACGGCTAAATAGAAGGCTTGGCTAATTAATACAAGTAGTCGATACTATCCACTTCGTTATTGTGCTTGAAATCCGGGCAGTAACCTACCGCGCGAAATGGAAGCACCGCTTTGGCCGACAGAGAAAGAGTTAAATCATCTGCCTTCCCCGCCCCGAGCTGTCAGATTTCTTCTTTAAAACCTTTCCGATTGGAGCGCCGTCCGAGGGGCCGAGACAGGCTAATGAATTAATACCAGGCGAGGGCAAAGCGAAATACGCTCTCGCTCTCGCTCTCAATAAGCTGCTCTGGTTTTGCATAGCCCTTAAGGCTGTAATCTCACACCTTTAAAAGAGAGAAGGCTCTCTTTAGTCCAGTGGTTCTCAACCTGTGGGTCGGGACCCCATTTGGGGTCAAACGATCATTTCACGGGGGTTGCCAAATAATGCAGTCTGCCATTTTTTCCCCCTTTTCCTTAGCTGTGCTACTCCCTTTTATTCTATTGGCTTTTGAAAGCCAATAGAATAGACTCTCTTGAATAGACTCTCTTGACTCTCTGCCCTGCTGAGCCCGCCAAAAGTCCCATTCTGCAAATGGTGCTGCACCAGTTGAGTAGTCCTTGACTTACGACCAGTTGAGTAGTCCTCGACTTATGATCGGTTGGGGGTCGTGACATTAAAAAGGCTGAGAACCATTGCTTTAGTCCAAAGGTATTGTGGCTGAGAAATATAAAGCTTAATTTCTGAGGGCACCATAAAAGCAGCTTTTTATGACGGATGGGTGCAATTTAGAATCTCGTGCTTGGTGCAGCAGCTCAGAAACTGGATTGGGTTAGAAAGCATGTTTGGGGCTGGAGATTAAAGGGATGAAAATGGATGATTTTGAAAGGCATCAGATCCACCCCACCCTTCTCCCATGCAAAAGGGAGTGATTTGGCCCAATTATTCTGCATACGGGCCCTGGAAGCTACAGCATTTTTTTTTTCATATATCGGCTTGAAGAATAGATTCACTGTTGAAGGTTATTTGGAAGATTTAGAATAAAGTTTGTAAAACGATTCTCCCAGCTTCCCTTTATTGCTTGCAAAATGTAGGGGGGAAAATATGTTGCAGGTAATATAAGAATTTTATTTTATGCTGCTGAATTTGAACATTCCTTCAGGGGTTCTGTGGAGGACTACCTCCAACTAGCAACTTCAGACAGTGACTCTGTAGCAAAAATCCATTTAAATGAACCCACTTGTACAATTCCATGTAGTTCAGAAATAGTTTTCTGAAAGTAAACTAAATCAGCTAAGCAGAGCAATATGAATTAATTTGTCTGTTTTGGGGGGCTGGATAGAAGACCTCCAGGATCCCTTCCAGCTCTATTCTAAGATACATTGACTATATCAGTAAGGTCTTTTATTGACTTGCTCTCCGTGGAAATAAATGTAGTCTTTAGAGTAGCACAGCATTCTTGATTATATTGGGTGAATAAACCAAGCAACTCTGGAGTTGGAGTGAGAGACCAGTTCCAGATAAATTCATAGTTCTGTATCCAGTTAAATCTCCTGTGAATGTGATTGTTCCCAGAATGCAGCAGTGAGATACATTGTTTGCCTTTGGATAATTGATGCAATCTGATATTAATTGATGGTGCTAATATTGGATGATGATACCTGGTTGGGTAATGAAATGTGTGCAAGAAACAGCCAAGTTCAGAGTGCACCAAGAACTCCACGATTCAACCTTGAGCTATAGATATTCTATTGGAACTTTGCATAATTATCTGCTTTTTGCATCTATAAAAAGTCAGGCTGGCAATATCATAGGTCAGTGCTTATTAAAACAGGTGTGGGGAAGAGGCTTGAGACAGATCTTTCCCTAGAAATTAAAAACATTGACTTGGTTTCGTTTTCTCTTAAATGATTTCTTCTTAATTGGTATTCTGGGAAGCAATAGATTAACCTCCTTAGAGCAAAATAGAAAAGAGAATAATAGGTATCCTTTTAAAGTGGAACATTGGCTGTTAGATCCACAGTCGTTCTGCTGATGACTCTCATCAATTTGAAATGAATCAGGAGTCTGGTAACACCTTTTCCAATTAACAATTTTTATTAAAAGGGCAGCATATGCTCTTGCCAGCTGGAGCTCAGTTCCTCAGATGCATAGAGTGGCTAGGACACAGGATTTAAAAGGGGAAAGGTGAAAAAGTGGTTATGCAGATGTTGGATACATGTGAGAAAGCCAACAAACACCCCATCAAATAGCATTTGTAATGTATTAAAATCCACTGTTTCAGACCTTCTGTCCTGTCCATGTTATGTGTGTTTGACAATCTGTTGCACTATAATAGTGGTGCAATTTCATTGTTTAAAAAGAGCAACCTTGAACTGTTAATTTAATGTCCTGGAAAGCTGAAATTAATACTACTTTGTCCTTATTTGAGGTCCTGATACCAAACTCGTATCCATTCATTCTTTTCCACAAAGTCTACCTGTTCAAAGTACAATTGAAAGAGGTATTGCTGACAGATGAAGCTGTGTGACACATTGAAAGAAGAGCATGTGTAGATGCTTTTTCTTTTAATGAAATTGCTGGGACTAGTGATGGTGCTGTTGATATAAATAAGGGGGCAAAATAAACCTCTGGGTTTATTCGGAATCTGCTTCCAAATTTGTTCTTGTGAGAAACTGTTTCGAGTTGGATGATTATCTGTATGCAAGTATGGGTGTGCCACCCCAGGCCAGAGAAATGTGTCATTGTCCAGTATGATGTGTAATTTATTAATAAAGTATTTGAATGTCAGGAACTGTAAGAGATAACCAGTGTGTTTTGCTCTTTGTGGTTTGTCTTTTAATAGATCCTCCTTGATTATTGATCTGGCTCTCTTGATTTGTTTAGTGATCTCACTGGATAGGTAGTTCAGTCTTATGAATGCCTGGATGAACTCTGTCCATTGAGCATCTCTGTCAAGTGGGTTAGAAGGAATGTAGTAGTAGCACAGAACCTGATTTTAGATTTAGTGGTATGTGCTGAGTGGAGGTATACATGAATGCATTTGTAGATGTTCTATATTCTGGTGTTTGTATATTCATTCTTCAGCTTTACTGTGACATCAAGAAATTGGGTTTGTTCAGTAGAAAGGATGACATTGATAGTGGGTAGAAGTTGTAGTCACGATGGATTTTAATGAAAGATTCTTTTTATGACATCAGTGAATCTCAAGGAGTGAGAGTTGAGAAAATGTTCTAAGTCAGAGATGAATTTGTTTTCTTTAGAGGAAAACATGCTTACAATCCAACACATTAATAGTTATATTTTCCCTTGGGGAAGATTAAGTTTTCACTCTGAAGTAGAAACATTTACCATACTAACGTCATGAAGTACTTATCAAGGAAATACTTCTTGTACTGAGTTAATTTTTGTTTCATTGTTCAAGTCATATTTTGCTTTTTGTATTAGATTTTATTCAGCTACAACCTAGCCTGATTTATTGATTTTACTTCTTGCTTACTGACTTCTGTACATTGGAATGTCCCTGCTAAGCTAATCTGTCTTTTGTATCTTGTTTCTTTCATTGAAGAACTACCTCCTTCCTACATCTGCTTCAAAAGTCACTCTAGATCAGGGGTGTCAAACTGCCGGCCCGTGGGCCGGACGCATCACAAAGAAACCGCGCCCACCCCATTGCTGGCAATAGGAAAAAGTTCCGATACTTCACGCGATGTCATGTGACATGACACGTCTGCTCTAGATTATCTGAATATTGTTTTTCCACACTTTTTCCTCTTAACACAATATAAAGGGTTGTTATTATTATTTTATAAGATTTCTATAGTTGCCCATCTTAAGCAACTCTAGGTGGTTCAGAACAGCAACAATGGACATCTCTATAACAAATTGTCATATCACAAACTTTGTTGGATCCCTTTATGATAGGTGATTCCATCAGAAGGTGAGCCATATAACTCTGCTTATCTCTCACTTGCATCTTGATTTCTTCTCCTTTGTCTTTTTCCATGGCCAAGGTGGATCCCACACAACTCCCTGCAAGAAGTAAATGAAAAAAATGGCGCCTTTACCTCCCACAACTGCCAGTAACACGTTCAACAAACTTATTTTAGCAGGAATGGTCTTTCTATAATTAAGTGCAATTGGATAGTTTAAGAAGATGAGGTTTGCAGAACAAAACATGTAACAACGTTTCCTGTTCTCTTGTCTTTATTCTAGCATACCCTTTCTGAGACAGGCATTTCAGTCTACCTAAGGCGAGGAACAGACTGATAGTTTGTAATGTGGAATGTAAAATGTTGTTTATATTTCCGGGCCAAATGTCAATGCCCCATAGAATTTTTGTTCTTATCTCCTGAACAGTAGAGAAAGAAGCTATTGTGCAAACCAAAGAAATACATGTATAATTGAATAGTTGTCATAACATACAAATTATAACATGAGTGAGACAGCTTAAAGGAAACAAAAAAGCAAACATTATTAGTATAGAATAAATGATAAAAGTTATCAGTTGTGCCTAAAATCTAAAATAG